GGGAGCTGCAGAATATCTATACCTAACTTAATGCAAAGACTCCCGGTGACACGCAGCTTTCTCAGCTGTATGCTCCACCCTGTGGACAGTTTGTGATTTCAACCATTCAGAAGATAGCATCTCTTCTGAACTGAGCTGTGCTACTTCAGACAGTTGTGTCATACCTAAGGCATGGGAAAAAGCAGTAAAATAAATGGTACAGCATCAACACATGCTTCATTCAAGAACTCTTCTCTGTAAGGCAAACAAAATGATGCTGTTTTCTTCAGAAACTGGAGTAAAGTCCTGACTTTCTTTTTAAATTAAAACCTTTTCATATTATTTCAGAAAATCCTCCCTGTTTTAGTGTCAGTGCACTTACAGTCATTTTTAATACAGTATGTTACTGGCCTCAAGTTTGAATACAGGGAGAGTAAAACATTTTTCAACTCTTTTCTGGAAGAAAAGGACAGGCAGTAAAGAACTTTATGAACTCTTGAGACCAACTCCAGGAATTCTAAGTGATTGGTCAGTCGTGGTAACTGGGTACCAAAATGGCATCATATTCAAATGTATTATAAGACAGCTTGCACATTATCCCAGGAAAGACATCATTCTCATGGGTCTGCATAAGAGCACCTATAAAATTGGAGCACTGGGCATTAATTAGTGCCTTTGTTACTGAAGCACTGAGAGACAGAAAGGGATTGGTGATACCACAGCTGTAGAAAGAAAGGAACAATTCTTACTCAAAAGATTGTGTTTAAGGTAGGATTTTGTTTTTTATGGAAAGCATAAAAACTGCATTCTGATGCTACGGATTATGAGAATCCCTTTCTGAGGTTTCACTTCTCAACAGGGAAAGCAGATGCTAGTTTTTCTTTTCCTGCTGTTTTCAGGCGTGCAACACCTATAGTTTGTAATGTAAGGGCTTCTGACTGTAATCACTTCTTCAATAATTAACCATTGTTAGTAACCACAGGTCTCCAAAAAAAATGCACGTTAGATTTAAACTCCCAAACTGAGTATTAATTTTACAGAAATCTCCTGAATGTCAGTATTAAAATAAAATGTTTCTGTTAAAACCAACAACAAAATGATAAGCACTCACATTTCAAACAAGTTAGCATAATGTTTACTATTATTAAAACCAATGCACCAGTCCAATAAGGTATTTTTTTCTAAATTTCAGATCTATCAATGCACAACAGCAAACATATTTTATGCAGATTTCAATATGTAAGAAAAGCACCAACAAAGAATAATGTTTCAATATAAACCAACTTGTCCAGTATTTCAGAGGCTATTTAAAAAAAACACACTAGTAGTTACAAAAATACTTGAACCATTTTTTGCAGTTTGTGACTTAACGGTAGTAATTTCATGTATACTATGAGATTTGGCAGTCTGAATTAAAATCCTAATTCAGCAAAAAGCAGTTTTAGGCACGAAAAAGATAGAAAGAATGATTTTTGTGTTTTAATTTAGCTAATCGTTCATGAACAAAACATTCCAGTATATTTAGCGTTGATTTAACATACATATTCATGATATAGAAGCCAGAGATCAGCAGCAACTGAAGAAAATGTGAGAGGATGCCAAAAGTTTGCTGCCTGATTTCAGAAAATATTTTGATCTTTACATGTAACAACAGATTGTCAATGTCCGTGCATCTCACAGGCTGCATGCTAATTAATTAGACTTGATGATCATGAGCTCTGTCTTTTCAATTATGTTCTGACAAAATGATTTCTAAAATCAGGACACTGATTTTACACTGAGGCTAATACTCAAGCCATAAAAAGTTCAGAATATGGGATCTGAAGTTACAGATATCAATGTGTATCTGTGAAGAATACTGGTTTATGATTAATAGATAGCTAACTGTACTCCTTTTCCAATATAAAGAGAAGTTCTTTAAAAAAAACTCCAGATCTATGGGATATTTTCAAAATAAGCACTTCAATCAACATGTTTCCTATGAAGAAATTTCACAGAATACTTAAAGAGATGTTGTTAAATGTTTTCAAGTTCTACTGCTTAGTATATATTTCTTGGAATTCTTACCAATGATGTTAGCCATGGCATTTGAGTTGCAATTAAAATTTTATTTCAGTCATTTTTCTTTCTTCCCAAAGTATTAAGTTTCAGTTATAAAAAAAATAATATAGTAACTGCATACATCTGTGTATCTTATAAAAATGTGTAATAAGCTTTTGTACTGACAGCTCAAAATTGTATTGATACTCTTTATTCCAGTAAATTTTGATTATTTTATGAACGACAATCCCTTAGCGAAATAACTTTCTGAATGTGCTATTTGAAAAGCAATTACATTTAAATGTTTTCGTCATTCAAAATCATTGTAAAATGTTGGGGCTTCTTCGTGCAGTTACGGCAAAAGGCTGAAAATATAGCAGCTGACATTGAATCAAAAAATATCTTCCAAATTCTTGTGGTTAGTAAAACAAGACTGCCCTCTGTCGATGATGAACTCAGGATCAACCACTTGGGCACAAATAAAATACATTTTACTTAAAACATGTCAAATTAGGGATAACTGCCTCCTTCTGCCCACAAAAACTTATTCTGAAGTTAACACAAGTTCAAACGAAGATGCGAATGTCTTCTTTAGATACAGTGCATTGAGTTCTCCACTGAAAAAATTAATTAATTAAAAAAAAAAAAAACGCTATGAGAAAGGGTTTTACCTCTTCATAATAATGGAGATTATTGTCAGCCATATTACCGAATGCCGATCTCATATCACACTGCATATTTTGCTTCCACCTGTCCCAATCTGCTTTCAGAGCATTATTGGCACATTCTACTTTGTCTTCAAGTTTCCCAATCTCTTCTGAGCACTAAATATGAATTGTAAACATAAAAATAAATAAATTAGTAGAGTCATGATTTCAAATGTGATTGAAAACAAATGATCATAGTGCAGTAAGAAGAACAGAACTGCAGAACCAAGGTTGGTATTACAATTAGTACATCAGTTCCCAGGGATAAATTTTAAATTATGTTCTTAATGAATAGCTCAGTACAATTTCTGAAATATTAATAGCAGAAATTCCAGATGGTAACTAAAGTGTTGCTGAAAATATTTTTATTGACTGCAAAGTTACAGACTGTGGCACCTCTTTACTTGCACTTGACGGTAATTCATTAAAAAAAGGAAACTTAAAAGGCTTTACTGGAGCAGAATCAACTATACAAATTAGATTTGGACAGAAAAACTGAGAAAACCTTGACAGAACCTTTGATGACCTCAGGGAAAATCAGAATGGGGGGAATACAGCAGAAATCACACACATAAACTTTCTGATGTCTTGCCTGTCGACTTGCGATTTTTTATTGTGGAACTAACCTCTGTGTGACCATGTGAGGAAGGCAGAAATACAGAAGTAGAGAAAGAAATTAAAACAGGATTTCTGCAGAGCAGGAACTCTTTCACAGGGATCCAGGATCAAAAACCTTGAGGGCAGCTACTATGCAGACATTATTTTCTTCTAATTGCTGGAGATGCCCAAAGTGAATTTCAGCTAATGGGAATCAGTAAGTAGATAGAGGGCCCCTCTTTAATGAGTCTTCTAGTCCTCTCAGTAATTTTGTACCTATTGTTATTTGTTAATCAGCTCTGTTGGTTCTGGCTGGCACCCAATTGCAGAATGAAGTAAATCTTCTGCAGCTACAGCGCGATTCAGCGCCTTGGGACTGCACAGAGACTGTGACAACCCTAGGGAAGTCAGGCATAAATGCCACCAATAACCAACAGCGATCAGGAAAAGCTGATCCTTACACTGTTTCTATTGCAACTCAGGTACCATACATCGTCCTCGTCTTCCTTGTACTCTGCTATCAGGCAAATTGTTTTTTCTTCATATAACAACTCTGTAAAGTTGGATAGCTCCTCATCAGTGCTGCAGAGCTGGTGCTGTCATTGGTATTAACTTCCAAGTCTTTTACAGGATTTTCAGGGGATGCTTAGGCGATTCACAGAATGCAGAAATGTCAGACTTCAGAGCAGGATATGGAAGGGTACAATCTGCAGCTTCCAGCTTAAGCCATGCACGAAGGGCACCATTCCAGTGCCACAGCTGCAAGTGCTGCAGGAATCAGAAATAAACTAAGCAACACTGTCGGAATCAGTGACAGAATCTGAGACCAATCCTTAAAATTTATGGAGGTATCAAGGAAGGATGACAGCTCATAAATGTTTCTTGTGTGTCCCTGAAGCCAAGAAGAGCCACATGTGCTTTAACCAAGTAACTCACGCTTGTGTACATTTCCACTATGCAATGCCCAGCAGAAATCCTGTTCACACTGCATATAGTCAGCATAAAATTGTCACCAAGATCACTCTGAAGTCAGTCAGTTTGTACAACCTTCTGGGAATCCACTGTCTGGGATCTACTGACTGCTGACTCTGGGCCACACTATAACAAGAGGTACTGCTTCTGCCAAAAACAACCCTTCCAAGAACAAAAGGTCAAGTGAAAACATAAAATATTTAATTTCCAAACCACAGATGCAAATTCAAAGTTTGACAAAGTGGAGTCCTTCACCTCTCCAAGTAGCCACAGAATGGGAAAAATGAAAGCAATTTCATCTGAATGGATTTTTTCCCACATTCCACAATACAGAGATGAATAAACATTTTTAGTTGGACTTTATTTCTAAACTGATTTTACTTGCTACACTTCTAGATTCACAAAATACTGGATATTATTCGAGAACAAAATATGCCTTTCCTTCTAACACTATAAAAACAAATGCACATAGAATACTGAAAATAGTGAGTATTTGTAGCTGATTTAGAGTAAGAAGGTGAGTTGAATCAATTTTTCTGCTTTTGCAAGAAAAAAAGTTCTTATTTGAAAATGAGCTAGACAACATGCTTCTGTTGTCAGAACTTCTCTGATTTCAAAGTCCTGGAGCAGCGTCCTCCCCTTATCTTGTTCTTTATATCTTTAAGACATTTATTTTACAGTTTGTTTTTGTCTTGCCTTTTCCAGGAACTTCGAATTTCTTCCACGGTGTAGCCATGATGTGATGTGGACAGGCAGACTGTTCTACATCCCTACCTGGAAACGCAGTTTAAACATCACCCTCTAAAGCCCCAAAGAAACTGTGTGTTGTATCAAGGCGAGGGTTGGACCTAGGGTCTAAAGACAGCGTTATGCCACACTTCTTCATCTCGACTAGAAAGGTCTAAGATCTACTTTTTGACAGCTGATAAGAAATATTAATACCATCTTCTTCAGCTGACATGACAGCAGAAATCAAAGAATGCCCTGGTCTCTGAACGAACACATCCACCCAGTGTGTTCCTGATTTACGAGGTGTACGTTGTTACAATTTATCCTACCAATTAAATATGGTCCTGAATCCATTTTCTTACACTGATCTCACTGAGGCAGCTAGTGTGATGAATAAAATCTTACATCAGTGGTTCCTGCAGGACAGCACGATGTTCACCAGATGTCATACAGCTGGCCAGAAGGTGTAAGCTAGACACTGCCAGGGCACAGCACTACTGGACATGCACAGGGCGACTTGTAGCCAGAGGAACTTGGCCCAAAAGCCGAACTACCCGGTAAGTGACACAACACTTTACAGTATCTCACGATGCAAACCAGCATGACTTTTAATCTCCTACATGCATTAATCCTACAGCTTGGTGGTACTAACCCTGTTCAGCCTGGAGTTGAAATTATCTATTCAGAATGTGATAGATTCAGCACTGCTTTTCTTCATTCCAAGCCTGAATACTAGAATCGTCAGTCATCAGTAATGCCTATCTGGTGCCTGTCTGAATGACTGCCTTCTGCGCTGCCTAAAGCTTGGAGTGGAAGGCCAGTGTTTGGCTTTTTAAAAGCACTACAAGCAGCTGGTTCTAAAAGCCTGGTGGGAGAAGCACGGCTCCAAAACGTTGTGTTTTTTTTTTTTCCCCAGCCAATGGACATTACATCTCATGAGGTTTAATTCATGATTCCAGCCTGTTTCAGCTGCACTGACCTTGAAAATGTTTTGCATTCTCCTGTTGTATAACCACCTGTTTGCTAAATCATTTAATGTTTGCTGTGACCAGTGCTGAAGATCTCACAGCCTTTTATCAGCTCTAATGACAGTCTAAGGTTCCTTATCTGTGGTGGAAGTGTACTTCAGATAAGATTAGAATTCATGCCACTCATTGTCAGCAGAATTTCTGGCTACTAGATTGCACTGACAAGTTCAATCTGACGTCTGTGAGATCATTAGAAGCTACATAAGGTATGCCTAGGAATAGAAATGTGAAAATAAAGCCAAACTCAGCATTTGGCACCAATTCCAATCACAGTACTTCTGTTTTCAGGCTTTTTTCCAATCTCCTATCATTCTGAAATCAGTCGGGTTACAAATGTTAGCAAAATAGTTCAAGATGTAATAAAAATTAAAACACAGTAAAAGCAGATGCAGAAAACAGTTAAAAGTTACCTGAACAGTTAAAAATAGCAGTACACCACTCTCCGTGGCCAAACTATCATTAATACAAAAAGCCTTCAACTTCTAATTAAGAAAAAAGTCTTCAGGATGTAGCCACCACTCAATTACAGAGGACAGGACTTTATGATTAGACTAACAGATATTCGTGTTGCTGCTCTCTTGAGTCTGCAAGGAGAATTGAGGTCTCAGCAACAGCATTTTTTGAAATAATTGAGAAACAGAGAGGCTGGAAAGATAAAGCAAAGGTCTGAACACCTAAGTAATCGTGTGATCTACAGGCTTTTACCAGAGCAACAAGGAAATTCAGAAACAGTGAAGAAAACACCAGGTTTACTGGAAGCACGGACAAACCTCCTTATGGAGCAAAACACTGTCAATATCATATCAACATGGTATGATCGATAAAATGCTAAAGGAAAAAATTATTCCTTTCTGTCTGTAACAGCTGAAGAAAACGGAGTGCGTGCACCTTGTCTGAGGACTCCATGAGATTATACCAGACACACTTTCTGAAAAGGCCGTGTCCTGCCAGGCGATGACCCTTCCCTACGGTGAACAGCAGCAAGACCAGCTGCTATACAAGTTGTATGAAATTGCCATTCATCACTGAGTCACTCCGTGCAAATGCAGTTGTTTTTAGCAAGTTGCCAACAAACCATACAAGTGGGAAGTACTGATAAAAGGGATGCAATGTTGCAAAGTTGATCTAACTAGCTGTGTACAAATAACTTAAACGGTGACCCGTGACACTCTTTTGGCAAAACAAATTCTTAGTATATACTGTGCTTTCACATACAACTAATAGACCTGTCTATGACACAGCTGCGGTGAGACCTCACTTAGCAATCAATTGTCCAGTGCGTAGACAGATATAGATAGGCTGAGACTAGAAATATTTAAGTAAAGGTTTGCTGGAAGATGGTCTTTGCTTATTCCTATAAATGTGAAATTAGTGTTATACAACATGTTAATTTATTTCCAAGAGAAACTGTATTTCAGTCACCATTTATGTGACATTCCCTATAAACCTGGGGGAGCAAAGAGCAGATGTGGTTCTCCTGGCAGCCAGCGATCTCTCTGACCCCTGCCGGCTGGTTCCTGGCTGCAGCGATGCCCCTGAACATCCCTGCTACCCTGGGCCAGGGAAACCCTGCGAGCCCCCACGCTCCCTCCCCCTCCACTCCCCGTGTTGCTCAGAGGCTGCTCCCTCCCCACCTTTTAGGTTTACAGATGTGGCCTGCACCCACCAAGTCCTTCGTGACGGTGCAGGCAGGACAGCCAGGAGACAAACCTGGGGCTGGGGACACCACAGCTGGGGCTGCTGGGGAGACACGGTGGGCTGGGCGAGGAGCAGGCAGCATGGAAACACGCTGGCCTTGCTGGTAGCTGCAGCTGGCAGAGGACCAAGACTTGTCCTCTGTGCCCCAGCTCCCAGCATGGGGGGCTCCTCTGCCTCCTCGCATTTTGTAAGAGCTTTAAACGTTATCCCTAAACTAAGGACAGGAGGAGCAGCTGAGGAAGCCGAAAAACAGATAAGAGAGCAAAAAGGTAGAAATATTCAAGTAAACAGAATTTCTGCTTCAGGAGAAAAAAAAATAAAAAATAGACGTATTTACTGACTGTCCCACTGCAGTACACAGAGACAAATTATGAAATACACCGTAGACATCACAATTTAGATAGTGGTAATATATTCTTATTTATTCATTTAACTGACAAGAAATCAAATGAAAATATGCACTTCAGCTGCCAAAAACTACCTAAACAGCTCATCTTTACATGAAAGCTAATTACAACAACCCTAATAAAAAATGTCTGAAATGTCAAGGACTTTCTCCATCGATATACCAGAAAGTTGCAGTAATTATTATCTAGTCATTTTTATGTATTATTTACACTGTATAATCCTTGGTGTTAACACTATGCTAAAAGGACATTATTTAGGCTGTAGAGCTCAACTATTAAAAAATTGAAAAAATGCCAGTTCTGCTCTCCACCACAGCTCTAAGCTGCACAGCTGGTAATGGAGCAGTGCAGAAAAAGTGTCCCAGCATTGGTGCCACCATTGCACAGGAGCAGGCTGAGGCCAGAAGTGAGCCAGTGGCAACAGTGGGCAGGCCAGCACTGAGGTTGTGCAAATTTATCCCAAAATTCCTTTAAGTCATCCCACTGAACTTCACTGGTGGCTTTCAGGATGCCCGCTTCCATGAGTTACTACAGGTATGGTCTGACTGCTGCAGAATGAAGACATACGACTGATAGTAAAAAAAAAATAATAATAAAATCCTAAAAAATAACCAAATAAGACAGAAACTTGAAGGAGCAAGATTGAGAGCTTTTCATTTTAAATACGTCTAATTGCTTTGCTCGTTCTACCTCCTTTTCCTTTCCTTTGTCAACAGAGCAGCAGCTATGAGAGCACTGCAGCAAGTCTTACTTTCTCTTAACTCCCAATGGGGATGTAAAAAGAAATGTTAAAAATACACCACAGCACTGCCTGTATTGACAAAACATGATCCGTGGATGCCCATTATTAGCAATCCTTTGCTACAGCTACCTACCCACTGATGTGTTGCATGTTTCTCATGATTGCCTCTGCCTAGCATGCACAGCTGCAAAGAACAAACTTTTTTAGAGAAAGTATGGGACATACAGAGACACTATACAGTTACAGAGCATGGCTTCACAGGACACTTTCTTCAGGGGATTCATCTCTTGCAGTTAGAGTAAGGCCTAGAATATTTCAGCATTCTGTACAGAGACGTACTCACCAGATCCTTGTCTGCCTTTTTATTGGCTAAAGCATCCATTTTGGAATCAAGCTCACTTTGAATGTGGTCTCTCCTTTTCAAAACACCCTTAAAATAAAAAATAATAAATAAATAAAGCACACTAAATTTTAGCCATGTGTTCAGAAAACCATCAGACAATTTTGAAATTTAATAAATTAAGATCAGAGAATGAAACAATTCAATAATTTTGGCATGATATAAATATTTTTCTTTAAAAAAAAATAAAATCGGGTAGTAAGGACTCATATTTCAATACCCACCTTTTATCTTATGTGATTTTTCTAGAATCTTGGTAAATCCAAAAGCAATGCCACAAGAATCTGCCATACACGGTATCATTGCTAATTGTATGAGAAAAACTGCAGCAGCAGTTAACTTAGTAGTAACTCAACCTACAATATATTCATTTTAAAAAAGCAACATGAGTTTGTGAAATCAAAAGTAGCTTACTTGAGGAAAAGCTACAATACAAATTAGAATAAATGACTCAGAATGGTATACAAGGTATTATTGAAATTGTGACTTTAACCAATATTATTCTGCAAGCACCAACTGTAGTTCAGTAACATCAGATAAAATTATCATAAAAATAATAGACGCAATGACATTGATATGTGTGCCTATTTTCAGTATATGTAATTATTTCCTTCCCTAAAACTGTCTTACAGGTATTAAATTTTTAGCATAATGCCAAAAAATAATTAGAAAGGGGAGGAAATGTTACTTGTTAGACTACAAAACGGGAATAGTGTAACAGATTAAATTTCCATTTCTGATGTTCATTTGCTATGTGACCTTGAGCAAGTCTTATAAATTTCTCTTTGCCTTAGTTTTCTCATCTGTAAAAGCATACTCAGGTGTGCTTATCTCACAGAAATGTTACAAGGCATTAGTCCTTTAAAAAAATAATCAGAAGCAGGACATACGTAATTGCAAATGTCAAAACCTCCTTTTACTTTGCTGTGCCACAACTGGTTTTACTGCTTCTTCTGCATATACAAAAAAGATTTTCAGTATTTACCTCTAGCACAGGGCATGTTGAAACAGCACAGGGCCTAAGCAGCTCTACCTTTTCTATCTGTCTTATTTGACTGAGTTCTCTCTGATATCTTGTCACTTTAACAAGCACAACATAAAAAAGCAGTAGGTGAACTTTAAAATAATGTTTCATGTTTCCTTTTGAACATATATACACTAGAAAAATTTGGCAAACTTGACTTGGGACAACTCTGAGTACTACTTTAGCACTACATGCTAACGCATAAATCTACCTTTCAATAGCTTAGAATATCTTCTGTTTCAATAAATACAGAAAATATTTAGCTGTAAGCACAGAAGTAAAACAATTATGTCTAGAAAAGCTGTCTTCCACATTATGAGTGCTTTATCTTTTTTATTATTCCTTTTGCCTCTTTTAAAACTATTTTATTGACCATATGCCAACTTCTATCACAAATATTTCTTAAGTTACAAGATAAAAACAATAATTTTAATATTAACGTGTTGCAACTATAAGCAAGTGCTGAATTCCAATGTCAAACAAAGGGACTATGTTTTATATACATATTGTTATACTTTTGTAATTTGTATAATAATTAATACTACCCTGCCACAAAGCCATCAAATAATTGTATGTGGACCCATAACCAATTTAGAGCTGCAGTTTGTACCCTGAAGCACAACAGGACGGTTGCACTCTCTAGATTAGTTGTCTCCACTGTGAGTCAGTTAGAAAGGAGCCTGTCTAGACATAATTATTTAACTATGAATTTATCTCTTTCCTCAGTTTAAGGCTAAACTCCCAACACTGGAAAATACAAGGACTAATCCATTGTACTGACCACAACTTCTGCATGTTTGCACGTTAGCTTCTTGCAGCAACACACAAAGGTGCCTGTGATGAGGTACCCTAGAAAGCAGGTTTTACTGGTGTGTGACTTCCTTCATTGTATTTTGAGTATGATTAGTAGTCCCCTCTCCGTACTGTGAGAGGGAAGTAACTTGTAGGAAAAAAAACACATGTTGAATGTAAGGAAAAGAGCAGTACTTTGAGAGGACTGAGCTACTGGAGGAAGATTTTCCTTTGGACAGGACCTTGTGGCAGCTTAATGCTGCATTGCAAGTGTTGCATCAAGGCAACTGCAACTAAGAAAAACAAAACAAAACAAAAACAAAAAAGGAAAAAAAAAAAAAAGAAACCAGCAGTGAGTAACAGCAACTTGCAACACGTGCATTACGAGCCAGGAAGTCATTCTGTGGTTTGTGCAGACAAATCTCTCTGTGCTACACACAGAAGCAAGCACCTGTGAAAGGGTGAGCCAAACTGCAAACTAGAAGGCAGTGTCTCTTCAAAAACATGAGGGATGGGATGGCTCACAGCTAACAGATGTACAAGTTCTGAAAAACAAGATTGGAACTGGGGGAGGGGAGGAAATACTGCAATTTGCCAAGATAGTACTCTCTTCATACCTGTAAGCAAAGTAATGCCTATCTCCGTCTGCCTCCATGTACATTTAAATACTGAGGCCTGTGAGATACAGGACATTTTGTATGGTCTCTCTTTTAGTGAAATTTGTTTTAAAGACAGTGGTCACTGTAGTGACCAGTGTAGTGACACAGTAGTTCTTTAACCTTTCAGTTGCTAAGCCATTTGGAGAAACGGGCAATGCTGTGCACCGTGCCAACAAAGGCCTATGCTGGCCAAGTGAACCTGGGTCTTGCTCTACACAAGACCTGTAGCACACTCAGCCCCTGCTCAGAAGCCACTGCAGTATGAGCAGGACTACCAGCAGAGACACAAAAATGGATACGGCAGATTGCAGAGGCATGGCAAATCCTAGACAAAGGCTTGTTTGCAGACATTCCTGCTTTCTGAAGGCAGCAGAGTGGGAATGATGACATGCTGAAGTCAGTTTTTGAATTATGTTGATTGTCAGGTCAGATTTTTTACATTCTCTCCAAGTGTAAGAAAATTACATATGTGAAGGGAACTGAGAGCATCAGCTTATGACAGACTAAAACTTGCTTATATAATGACACAGGGACTGGAAGTTTCCTGCTTTTCTAGAAAAAGAAAACATAATTTAGGAACATCTCCCAGAAAAGGGAAGAACCTCTCCAGTCCTCCTCCCCCTCACAATCTGTTACTAGATGAGTCCGTATTTCACCAGTGTCAGCGGAGGTCTTTCTAAACTGCTGTTCCTCGAGCCTTTCTGTGTTCCAGCCTCTGCTACAACACAGAGCTCTCTTCAGAGGGCAAAATCCAAACTCTTCTGCACTGCTACCACGAGTGGATCCATGCCACACAAAACTAGCAAGCCTTTCTCATCTGAAAGGGGTGCCTCTAGCCTGATTAACAAGGGAAACAGGACAAACTGGATTCTCTGCTGATGGACAGCGATCCTGTGCAGTGCAGGTTTACTAAGGGCAGTTAATGACAGCAAAATCATTTTCATCAGTTACAAACTCTCTTCTAGAGTTTGTCAGTGCCCTAAGCCAAACTTCATATACTGCCATAAGAAATCCTAAAGGAAACCTTACCATCAGAATTTCACTGTAGAGAACATACTCATGTAAGATCGGTAGCAGATTTTCCGAGAGCCCTGCCATTCGTTTCTCTGTAGCCTTGCAACACTTGTCAATGCAGCTGGCGATGCCTTTTAGGGAGTCTGCTATATCTTCTTCTGATGCTGACCAAAGTGTGTGGATGGGGCCGTATTCCTTCATTTCATTAAAATACTCTTAACAGGAACATATACACAGGTTAGTTGTTTGTTCACTAACAGGTGTCTAAGCGATACGAATTGCAACCTCATATTTCCTGTGAATACAGCAAGAAACTAGGACTAATGTTTAATATTTTTTTAGTATGTTCTCAAAGGTGCATACCTAAGTTCATTCCAGTTCTGCAGGTGTTATCTTCTTTAGAAACTTGTATTACTCTAAACAGATAGGTATCCTAAAAATTGCTTCTCTTATGTCTCTGAGCCAAGTGCTAATTCGTGGAAGAAAGAATAAGGTACTGCTGTTTGGCAGTACTTAATTTGGCAAGGCTGGTTATGACCTGGAAGATGTTCACAGGACGGTACTGAGAACACGTTTCCATTTATTGAAAACATAATTTTATCACAATTGAGTTTATAATGAAGAAATGTCCAACAAAAGTTGCCAAACAGTTTTGTGCCATGAAGAAATCAATATTTACTTTGAGATCACTTTGACAAAAAAACCCTCCATGGATAATGTAATTAGGACTCTCATGTTAGGCAATTACAAGCAGGAATATTTTCTGAATGTTCTCAGTTATCAGCAGATCACGTCCCCAGCAGTGCAGCCCTGCACACTAGTGTTCTGCCTATTGCTATCTGGAAAATCTAGAAATAAGATACATCCAGCAGCACTTGGGAACATGTCAAAATTCATAAGGTTTTCCAAGAAATATTTTGTCATTGATGACTTGAACCTAAGAACCTCAGCCAGAGATTTCCACTGGAATGAACTATAACAAAAGGAACCCTTTTCAGCAACATTTATTCTCCTTTTATTAGACCCCTCCAGCTTAGTGAGGACACACTGAGATGTGGTACTGCACACTAAAGCACAAGGTCTTGGTTACTACAGAACAAAGTGTAGCACTTCAAATTATATTATATAAACAATAACATTTCTCAAGTGCTGACCAGTAGAAATTGTAAACAGACCTAGTCTGAGATCAGGGTCAAGCTCAGAAAGTTAATAATTTAGAGTTTCAAGTAGGTGTGTAAACTGCTGTTACTGATGAAAAATATGAGCTGAAGTCATCCTTCTCAAGAAAACTCTAACAGGCACAGATTCCCATGGCAGAAACCATGGCCCACAGCAAAGCCCTTAAAAATAATCTACTTGGCCAATACATAAAAAAGGTGCGGAATAAACCTGAAGAAGACATTTAGAGATCTGGAATCTGTGCGGCATTATGCCAGGATGAGACAGGTGAAAAAAACTAACTCTACATTCCACTCAAAGTACAAAACAAAAGGTCATGCAGATCTCCAATAACCACAATAAAATGACAGCCCCACTTGTTATGTTTTCTTCTTTTTAAGCTCCTTACTGGGTAGGTCAATGACATGTTAAAACTTTCCCTATTACCAAGCTATTCAAGTTAACTTGAAGATCTGCCAGAACAATGACCATTATGAAAAGCACCGCATAAATACAAATCTTCCCTTTTTCCCTGCTTGCTGGAAAGAAGTATTTTGCTTGGCATAATGAAAATGAATGTACTGTTTACAACAAGTTGTTTTCCAGTATATTAATTTCTTAAATCCATAAAAAGATATTTGTTTTCTACTTACCCCTTTCTTCCTTGTAGATTCTATGAGCTATTTTGTCCAGTACATTTATTTTCTGACTAAATGTTTCCATATAATCATTCATTTCTGTAAACATTTCAGGACGATTTTTAACTCCTCCTCTTACTGAGGATGCTACAGCTCTTACAGTCTGTCCCATTCTGCTCAGCAAACCAGGGCCCTGCTTCTTGTGTGAGGAGAGTTCCTAAAAAACAGAACATGCTGAGTTTACTTGCATATATATTTTTATATTCTTTAAAAATAATATGTGGTTAAAAGCTTCCTGTTTTGTTTTAAAACAAAACTATATTCATAGACCTCTGTGGAAAAAAAAAAAAAAAGCAATTCAGATGTCTTTTTAGTGGATAAATCTCACTCTAAAATTATTAGACCAGTGTCAGAACCATAACCGTCACATGCATTTATTAACTAAGCCTTTCTGGACAAACATAAACATGCTGTGCGTCATGCTCTCACAAAGAATGATTAAAGATGGCAGAAAACCTTTACCCTTTCGTTCCTTAGAGTTGACTAGATTGCAATTTAGCCTTGTGAACAGGAAAGCAGAGGTAATGATTGCAGAAAGAACTCATTGAGAAAAGCAAACAATGTTCCTACTGGAAGAAATAAGCCAGCGATTTTCTGTAACTATTTTTACATGTTGATAGAATAGACTTTGCTAAAGTTCAGAGGCAGGCTTTCTGAGTACAAAACTCTGATCTTCAAGTGGCAACATCTTGTAAAAATACCACGGGAAATACAAAGGATGTATTTTTCTTTTATGAGACCAGTATAACTTAAAAAAAAAAAAATCAGATGAAAAAGACAAGTGCTATGCCAAAACTGTAATTCATTTAAATTACTACTTTTCATATAATCTTTGAAGCTTATGTGTATAATAGAAAGCATGCAGAGTTGAAATATTGTGCCACAAAAATCCAAAACGCAGCAACAAAAACTGCTTTGGCAGGTACAGCAATATTTATGGCCACACGCAAGATTACCAAATGCACAGAAGAAAAGGTTATCTCGGGGGACGAATATTCCATAAATTCCACACCTTCTTCTGACACTTCTGTAACAAGCCGTGGGAGGATGCTATTGAATACTGAACTAGGGAGACTCCTGATACACTCTACTAACACAAGACATGGTTTCATATAACTGTAGATAAAAATAAAGCCATTTTACCCAGGCTTGTGCAGTAAGAAAAATTTTGAAGTCTTCATTAAAAGTTAAAGTTGGATGATCAGCAATGCGGTTCAAAAATTTATGTAAAGCTTTTCTTCGAGTCTCAATGAATTCATCACTAAATCGTTCCACCATTCCTTTCATTATGAATTTTTCAGGCAATGGCTAAAAAAAAAAGAAAAAAGTATAATGTATAATTTGCAAAATATTAGGGATATTATAACAGTTCCTCTACTTACTGAAAACATAGATACAGCTTGTAAAATTCACCATGTAAAAGCAAACTGCTACAAAACTATCATATTTAACAGCGGTATATACTGGTATTTGTAGCCGATAGTATAGCAGGATACAAGTACAATTAAGAAAGGGGAAATAAATTACTGCAAATGGCACAATTTCGAACATAAGAAGTGAATTACAGAATTTTTAATTATCGCTTATATACATACATAGAAAGTTACTAAAAGGTTAGTTTGATGGTCATGAGAGTTCAGAAACACAAGAAAGCCTTCAAGCAGCTCTGTTTAAAACTTGGGTCACCTTATAAATGAATAAAAATAACATAAGGTTTAACAAACGAACAGGAATAATTAGTGTTGGATGTGCTTCTTCGAGTTTGCTCTTCAACCAAAGGAAATCCTGATACCGTCTTCGAACTTCATATTCACAGGAGTCAAATTCACCACGAGATGTCTGAAAACCATGGAGATAAAAAACAGGACCAGAAAGTGAGAATACTGTGAAAAAATAACAATATTGTTTTAGATTTTGAAGAAAACTGCATACATGATTCTATTTTGCCCTTGCTATTTGCTTGCTGTTTTTTAATGCACGACGATCAATCTCTTAATGAAATAGAACACATGCAATTTTAGCAACAAATCCAAGTTCTACTTTAAAACAACATCAACAACAAAAGAAAAACTAAACAGCAGAGTGACCTAAAATAATCACCCTAGCAGTGTTTTCAGAAGATTTCAATCATTACTTTACTGTGCCATGTCCCTGTTAGCAATCATAGTTATGTTGATTACCCTTAGGGCACTTCTTCTGAAATGATTTGAAATCAATGAGTGAGGAAAGTCCATTTTTTAGCATTCTGAAAAAGCTAGAAATAGCTGACATACGTCCTTGGGGCCTGCTGATGCCAGTCAACAATCCTCACATTCAGAACGTGAAAACTTCAGCACATCATAGAAGTAACATTTCCTGTGCTGTTTAATGGATTCTGCTATTCCATCATCAACTCCAGTTCTGTAGCCCTTTGTCAGAGCTTGCCAACAAACCTTTAATGCTTATAAAAATGCTTATTACAGCATTGTGAAATTGTCAAACCATGAGATTTATTTTATCACCACTCTATCTTCTAGAATCAAGCTACAAAGAGCTCATGTTTACATCAGAGTGATGCATGCTGTTTAGCATTTGTTTTTGCACGGAGATTTATAATGCAATGCAAGTAAATTCTAAAAAACTCAAAACACACTTTACTAATCTAAACATTTTTGAGGACTGAATAAATTTTTTTCAAGTTATGTGGGAGGAATGACATTACTTTATCATCAACAACCAGCACTTCAAATTAAATATGATAAGAAACGATGGAAGAGATAAAAAAGCAAAAGCAATCCACCTTACAGCCCTTCCATATTTGCCTGCAGAAAAAAATGTTCTTTTGTCTACAAAAAGATGCATAAAGTGAAAATTATTGCTAGCAACCTAATGAAGATAGCTCTCTTCCTACTCTTTAAATATTTTATGAAGGATTGATAACTTTTCTTATTTAAAGATGAATAATTCCCATTTGAAAATTTGGTTTTAAATGAATCTTTTAAAAAGAACTCAAAGTAAAATAAATTAACACAGTAATTCTCAAAACACAGCCTGCAGAATATTTGCTGGTAATCCCAAATGATCTGTCTGGTCTCACAACACTTTCTTCCTTATTTCCAGTGAATAATTTGCATTCAGGACAGCTAAAAATACACTATGTTGTTTCCTAATATTACTTTTTTCTTCATTTGAGAATTGTGGCAGTTTCCCAGAAATCATATGCAACTGTTGATGGGAAACAAACTTTCCCATAGTAGTGGGCACTGCAATTACGAAAAAATGGAGCTGTAAGACTTTGTAGCAGCAAGTCTTTTCATGCAAAGCAAAAGATTGCTGGCCTGCAA